TTCAACTGGATCTGCAAATGACTGCAATCATTTAAAGAAGTGACGAACGTATATAATTTTAAATCATCGACGAACATGAGCCTCTTGCTTTCAAGAGATGTACACAGGTCATTTATGTACAGCAAGAACAACAGTGGGCCTAAATTAGATCCCTGTGGTACATCGCTGGTTGCCGTATACACTTCCGATTTGTAACCATTGTATTGAAAAAACTGTTTACGGTTGACTAAATATGATTCCAAAAGTGCTATAAACATTTTGGGAAAACCTACGTTCGAGAGCTTGGGTAATAGAAGTGTGTGATTTATTCTGTCGAAAGCTTTCGAGAAATCTGTATACACCACATCCACCTGACCCCTATTATCTAGTGTTTCGCACAGAAATTGACTGAATATCGATAGATTACTAATTGTCGAACGAGAATTCATGAATCTATGTTGATAAACAGAAAATATATGTCTCATTGACAAGTAGATGCGGTTGTACAAAATTATCTCGAATAATTTGGCTCCAGTATGCAAGAGAGATATTGGCCTATAATTATCAATCAGATTCTTGGCATCTGATTTGTGTACAGGACACACCTTAGCCACTTTCCAAATATCAAATGTTCATTTATGGAATTGGGATTCTTACAAAATAATTCAATGCGGTAAATGTGGTAAAATTATTTCAAATATCGAAAAAGTGACGTATCATATGTCTCGAATTTTCCTTTTCAATAGTTTTTTTCAATGTTCTAACAGAACATTTCAACTCATCAGGATATATATTGTACAGTTTTGATGTTAGGTAGCTGAACATTCTCTGTGTGGTGGATTTAACCATCAAGGGTGACACATAATGCTTTTTTTTCGGATATTGAAGTTCTGGGTTGGTAGTTGATTGGTATGTTTTATTCTTTTATAATTTATGCACGTGAGGAAGAAGTATAGCTGTTTGAGGTCGAAGATTTTGGATTAGGAGTATATTAAATCGGATGAATATCTGTAATTTTTGAATCGTCTTTGTATTATTTTCAATGAGTTCATATGTGTATGATAATTTTCATTTCAATCGTATTGATCCCAATAACTACAAAGTTTGCGATAATATATGAATAACAATATGACCCAATACAATATGAAGGAAATTGAAAACAAAATTCAAAATGTTATTTTTGCATGAATTGAAAGCGGGATATTCTTAGGAGATATGTTTGTGAAGAAAAGGTATACAAAAACATATGGGAACCTTCCAAAGAAAGGAAGGAAGCAATCAATTCCAAAAAATTGACTCTTCATCGAGATGTGTAGACCATGCAAAAATGTAATTTTCAGACACAAACTGGAAGAAAAATCCTCTCTGAACAGTTATTTCCATATAAATGAAATTATACGAAACAAAAATACTTTCGAAACGAATACTTTCATATGAACACTGAATTATACATAAAACACTTTGATCTATTCAGCTCCAAACATCCGTTATGGAATTGAATCAGATATCATTCACAGGATTGCTACACGGGTAGGTTAGGTTAGGTCCAAAGTGAGTGGGACTATTCGACCCTCCACCGCAACCCGCAAGGGCTTATTGTGGCTCACACCTATTCACACTCGACCAAATAAACCCAGCTTCCTAACCAACAGCCGGTTGCACTCTGCATTAAATTGATTTGTGCAATTGGCAATGTGCACAAGTCTATATGCAGTCTATATACAGTAAATGAAAGACGTATCATTGCACTTACATGGAACACTGTCATCCTCACTGGTGGACATTCGATGTTTCGGCATAAGACACTTGCCTTATCGCCTCTTCAGCACCAAATCTTTAAAAATATTTAAATACAGAGCCCCACAGGGCATCGTTTCAAGTCCACTAATATTCAATATATAGATATATTATTAACGTTTTGAATATCGAAAGTGAAGTTAAAATTCATTATTCTGCAGATGACACTGCTATCATATAGAAAGCGTCAATTTGGTTTGAATTGTAACAAAAAGTTAATAGAGATATGAAATGAGTTGAAACTTCGTTTGACAATGATTCATTAACAATTGATTTCGGAGAAACAAAATATTTACTCATTATAACTCGTGGCTTGTTATAAGTGAATATCTTTCAAAAACGGATACGTGCTTTGAAGTACTCTAAAAATGAAAATGTATCGATAACGTCACAAAACAAACCGGCTCGAGGGACTAAAACATGTTGAATCAATATTTTAATCACCTCTTCGAAAGTGCAGCTATTCTCCTTCGACTGAAGGAAAATTATTGAAAGAGAACTGACGGATTTTTTTGGATTATGAAGCTAATGGCACCTTACGTAGAATTCGAATACGAATCACGTTATCTTAAATATCAATTAAAGTGTCCGAGCATTTCTATATATGACTTGTTTTTGATTTATTGAATTTGTTCCAATTCAGAGACTCAGACATTATATGGCAATAATACAAATTAGTTTGAAAATAGCAGTTGATTTAGACTGACTTTTCTGTGCCTGATAATTTCCAGATAAAGTGTGTTACTGTTCTGAAATTTCTATTCAAGGAGAAATGTTCAGAAACCGAACTATCACGTAATCAATCTGAAAGAATTGATTTGAATTAAGTTGTGTTTTGACTCATTGAACAATCATTTTTGCTTGTTACAAAACAGACTAACATTTCGAATTAATTCGATAATCGATGGCGCTTTGTATTCTACTCTCGACACACATGCATATAATTCGAATAAATTACGAGTCTAACACACTGCAGAACAACGAAAGGCATAGATGGCATTGTGTAGATTCGCCACGCCTAGCATAATTGTCGATTGCTGTGATTACCACATTAGCTAAGGGTTGGTGCTCGAAAATTCCAAGAGGTCTATGGTGTCTTTTGCATAATCATCTGTTTTGGTGTTCGGAGTGTCTCCGTTCGCGTTTTGAAATCCAACATATTCGACCTTCGTAAATGTATGATTCATCTAGTTCAGAAGGAATTGCTGTGGTTCTCTCCAGAAGAGTGAATCCACTGAGTTTTTATGAACTATCGAATACATAAAAAAAACAAAATATTATTCGATTGCCAATAGATATTCCCGTTAAGAAGAGAATGACGTCACAAGATGACAAGTTATGGCGTTGCCAACATGTGCACTATTTCAAACTATCAAATTTTTTTGTACTTCTGATTTGTTTCACTAACTCACTAATAATTTACTTAGTTGAAATACAGTTTTTTTCTGAAATCATTCTTGTCGTCAAATATTGTATATTGAATGAATCAGTACAAAATACTGGTTTTGTACATACCATAAATCACATTTCGAATGGCAGTTTGATCAAAATCATCAATATCTAGCACTGGTTGCACTCGTGTTTGCTGTTTCGATGAATTGCTGAATACTTCACCTCTATTAGATTTGGTTGCTATACGGTTAACTGTAGTAATACTCAACTTCAAGGCATCTTCAACCCTCTGAAATCAACAATCGACAAATACTTAATCCAACCCAACATTTATATATTCGCTGTTTAATTTTAGTTCAGTTCTTATAGATGTAGGATAGGTAATTACTGCAATTAATATAACTTACGTCTCTAACAACAGTTACAACAGTTAGTGGAAGTAAAGGTCCTCCAATCTCACGTTCCCTTTCAAAGTAGTTTATTATTTTGTTTGAAAATGATTGACAATGTTTCGTGGTGTATTTCATCAGTTCGGACTTCCATTGTCTAATATAATATAAATTGACTTGAAATACCTGAAAAAATATTAAAAAGATT